TAAATACACACTTATGGATAATAATTACAAAATAGATGGCGACAATAGTAACTATGATAAAATAAAAGTAATCACATAATTCTTATTAATTTGGATAAAGTTATTCCAATTATGAGAATAATTTTAACCAATAATTCAATTAAATCGTTATTAAGTATTCAACTGTATCGATTTAGTTATTATAGAAGAAAGCACAAGAAATAACATCTTTTTGTGATTGTTTATCTTGAGATTAGACTATGAAAAAAAGTTTGTTGATTGAATAATGCACTCACCTCGTCGCGACCAGGCGGGCCAGGAGGCCCCGGGGGACCCCTGACGCTCTCGCCCTTTTCCCCTTTGTCACCCTTCTCGCCTTTCGGACCTTTATCTGAAAAAGAACAAATGCGCCGCCATAAGTCCACGCAACTTCGTCGCTCTCTGTTTTGACACGCCAGGGTGATTTATGCGCGCGAAAAGTAGATTAAAAAAGTTTGCTTCATATTTTATCATCGTTTCTTCGACGCGATACCTCCGAAGTCGACGCGCGACGTCGCGCATCGACGTCGGCTATAGCGAAATTAATAAACGATTTTTAACATGCCGCCCTATCTTTACTAAGCTACGGATGTAGGATAAAAAAAAAAGAAGATATTGCGATGTGTCAGTGCATTGATTAATTGGAAAACTGTCAGACTAAAACTATCCCAAAATACTGATACGATATATTGATATTTTGAGATAGTTCGAATATCCTCGCAATAAATTAGAAAAATATCACGAGCTTGACAAAAGATAATAAAAAATATATCCGATTACGAAAGAAAAAAATTGATTTACATTTCTCAATATAAAAAAATGAAAATCTTGTAACTACAAATAAATACACATATTAGGTGTGATAAGAGATAAAAAAAAATAGAAATACCAAATTAGCAGTATCAATCGTTTGATTAAAAAATATCGAGGCAAAATGATTTTAATTAATTTGGAATCTAAAAGACAAGAGGCACGGATAATTTCATAAATTGATTTCTTTCATGTCTCTAGTTACACATGTGACATCGTATACATTGGATACATCTTCTAAATAATCTAAATTGTTAGAACATAATTCAATAAAGCGTTATATTTTATGAGCGGTTGAAAAATCGTTAGTGCGGCTATTTGATGACCTTACTTACAATCTGGATTCGGAGGCGGAGGCGTGATGAATGGCGGTGGGTTACTCTCTTCACTTTTGTCTTCGTCCGCATCTCGACTGATCTGAAAATGTATCACAAGCAGTGCCGATGAGATCGGATTACGCTATCTCGTTAGCGATACATAATAGAACGATTATTGACATCGTTGTCGTCGTTGTTGATTGCTAATTCAGAATTCCGTGCAGGCGAACGAGTAAATAGCGTATACTTTTTTATTTATAGCGTTTAGTTGCGATGAGGATAGCGAAGCAGTGATCGATTTACCGATTAGTTATTTTAAATGCAAATTGCAGATATATATTAAATCACAATGTTATTAAAGCAGTACGCTGAAATGTATCGACTGTTCTCGATTAGTTTCGCAAAGAGGCGATAAATATTTGCGAATTGCTCATTTAAATGTCATTGAAATTCAGGATATTGCAATAATCGGATTTATTTTTGCAGATGGTGTCAGATGCTATGACGAAGGGTGAGAATTAAGATCGATCTGAAGTTTACTATCTACAAGATGGAATGTAAAAGCTGAGACGTGAAGAGCAGAGCGTAATGTAAGTAATAAAATTTAATGTTACTAATATATACGCAATGAGATAATCTTAGGTAATGTGCGATATTATTCTTACGTTTCATCATATCCCAACTGTCACGACTGCCATCGCAAATTGTTAGTCAGTAGTATAAATGATCGCATGCGCCAGTTGTGTGAACAATGCAATGTCCAAGTAAAGTTCCTCAGACGTGATACCGGACCTGTCTTGTACGTTAAAAGCGAATAATACATCAAGCAGTGACGGTGATTAATGAAGTTCCAAGCCAATCAGGCAGTATGGTTAGCACACATGACACCAGCCCTAAGTGTTTTCCGATAATTATCGGTAACGACGGCGCTTTATCGGGCTGAGTCGACGTCCGGTTAGGATTTTTCGGAGATCGAACGCGTTCTTGCGTTATTACAAAAATTACTTCTTATTTCCGTTATCAGAAATCTGTTAAATTCGTTCAAATATGCCAAAGATATCATTTCCGATTTTATTCATATTTATTATTATTATTTATTATATAGATATATAAATTTACAAACGCACCGAACCTATATGCATATATCACTAAAGCAGAAAAACATGATATTTATCTCTTTCTGCTTGCGTAAAAAAAGCATACGTTATACTTTATTTCTAATAACTAGATGACAGCTCGCAATATAATTCGGTTTTTGATTCGGTTCGGTTTTTAGTCATTTTAAATGGAGTTATTCATGGCCACTCGTGTAGTGTTGTATGAACTTAAACAGTTCAATCTTTCCAAACTATTATTTATTATAAACTAATATTGTTTTTGACAGTCCAATATTTTTTTAAACAATTTAATGAAAGAAAACTTCATATAGCGGGTCGCATTTCTCGTTACAATAAAGATTCTGATTTTTTTGATTGAGGATTTTGTAACATTTTTTTAACGTACGTTTTTAGTTACGTTGCATATTCGAACACTACAAACACGTGCACGCGCGAACAAAAAATACATTTGTCGCATCTGTCGCGCTACTGCAATAACGTGTAGTATCGAATAAAACAAAAGGAGTATCCTCAGCATTCTGTTCGTATATGTAACTTACATTTATTGCACACGTTTTGCTTATTTTACGCTACGGTGGATTTATAATTTTGCATTTAAATTAGCATCATTTGTTATTAGGGGCATAACAGTTATTTACGAGTACAATGCATTCATATAATGAGAATTTAGAAAATAAAACAACAATAACGCGTAAATAAACGTTATAATACGTTATAATGAAGAGCTACAGAGCGAATTTTGTTATTATATATATTGTAACATTTGCACAAAAGATACCTCGAGGCTGTTTATAATCGAGTGTTATCTCACTTTTATATATTCGTCTGACTCTCAGAATTTACAGCGTATTTAATAATAATAATAATAATAGTAATCCGCGATTCTTATGCGCTATTTCGATATTCGCTCGACTACGCGAGATTTACGGCGCACGGTCGGCGTAGTTTGAATAATTATATGTATTTCGACGTACACGGGGTTACATCGCGAACCGAAAACGTGTGCGCTGGGAATACGGGCGGGGTTTCAGTTTCGGCGAGAGAGAACGAGAGAGAGAGAAAGAAGTTTCAGCCAGCCGCTACGCGGAACTCGTCATGTTTAATTCCCCCGTGCCTTTTTTCCTTCCTATATACCGCTCACGATGGTGGAATTACGCGGGCGTGCACGCATCTGCACGTACACGCGCGTACAGAACCAAGGAAACGGCCGGCACCGTAACACCTGCCGCACGATCGCAGTAACACGTAATGTCACGACGACACGTCGCTCCCGCGCGAACGCTCCAGGCGTTACCATCGAAATCGTTCACCCGGTACATACCCTGATCAGCTCTCCCATGCACGACCGCGTCTTTGCATCCCGCCATCGTACATTCCCGGGGCTTTCCGCGAGAGTGGGATTTTACGGGTGAAATAAATTCCGCTCTTCTCCGCGCGCGAAGAAAAGCTCCCCCGTGCGCGAGCCCGCCGCGACTGAACTTCGACTGAATTTCCGGGCGAGCGCAAGCGGGAAGATCCCGCGAAGGATTCGGGATGATGCGGGATTGCTATCATAAGAATACGCATTTACCGTTATTTGTTCGATGTATCTCGTGAACTCTGCAGTTGGACCGGATAAACGTCGGATCGACTCACGGAGTTGATCGTTAGATGTTACCTACATATCGAACATGGCTTTCTGCTCGATTACTGACTACTGAGCAGTGAAAAACAAGTGATATTTTTTTGAACTAACATTAAATGCAGTTCTAGCTTCTTTTAGCTCGAAATATCACTCTGCATGCAATTGTTGTATAAAAATTACAAATTGAAATAGCAATAAGATTCATATAGGTATACATAACATTCACTATGCCTAACGTAAAGATATCCATTGGAAAGATCAGCATAATGCTTGTAATAGATAGCATTTAATATTCTTAAATAATATTTTAATAGAATTTTTTTTAATAGCTTTCAATCTTTAGATATGGAGAAAATTTTGGAAATAAAATTGATGTTCTATAAAGTAAAATCAGAACGGAAATCATATTTAAGTTAGCAAGCTAAAAAAAATACATGAGATATTCAAGTAAGTCATATTGCACTCAAATACGATTTAATTGCTCGTTTAACTACCGATATTTAACTACTCGTCATATCAAAGATTTACTATTACATGTATTGGGAGGGAAAGAGAGAGATTGGTAAAAACATATGTCAAAATTTCGTGATATTTTTTAGCAAAGTCGACATAATTGATAATCATTTCCGATGGACGAAATGATATCGTGGTATATGTAATGCGGATCGTATTGATCTAATGAATTTAGCAAACGGTAAAAGCACCGGAAACTAGGTCGAAGACGAGTTCATCAAAATGCTATTGGTCTGATACGGATCACCAGTCACTGTGACACAAACTACTGCCTCAACTTCTGGAAAGGCGGTACACTCGGCATACATAGCGGATCGTAGTCGATTCATTACCGAATTTAGTGGGGAAAAGCGAATCTCTCGTCTCTCTCTTTCTCTTTTCCACACTTTCTCTATACGACACATTAGACGCATCGCTGCAGCTTGCTGGAAGTTAGCTTGCTGACCCGCGCATCTGATTCGTTCCCAGGAGTGTATCAGAGATAGTTCTTCTTCTTGCCCGCATGATTCGCGCGTGCAATTTACATTTCCCTCGTACACGAGTTTTGCAGAGTTTATAGGACTGACGCTAATGGACTGTCGAAAAGCTGAGAGAATCGGTTTTCAGAAATCGATTTCAAAATTGATTAGTTACAAGTCGCTCTTATTGAAAACCAGCTTCTCGAGAACCAATTTTCTTCAAATTAATCGTCTGTTTGTAATAGATTACATCACGAATTGATGCACGTGAATCGGTGACTTTAAATATGAACCGAATAACCGAATCCAATTTACTTATTATATATAATGCTCCGGATATTACTGCGAAACTCGCGGGAATCGCGGTTGTTGTATGTTTCTTTTGAAGGTAAACTTGGCTTGCGATATAATTTATACGCACATTGTTTCGGAAGTATGCCCAAATTTCATTCGGATCACGTCCAACTTCGTAATGACTGTGAGTGGATGGCAAAGATGGAGTGGTGGCAGGACATTTCGGGTAAGCAAAGTTGTCAATGCGAAATCCTAATAGAATTTTCGCGATTATCCTGCCGGTATTTACGAGATTATTCGCGTAACCTAATTTCTCGTTTCTTCTTTCTCCCTCTTACCCGGCTTTCTCCTAATGGCCGACAACTTTTAAGAAAGTTCTCATTAAAACTTCATTCCATTATAAGAGTTAGTTAATTTGAAAGATATATAAACCAAAATGTTATCGGTGAATAAAATCATTAATCTATAATCTGTATAATTCAATAATTGGAATTATAAGGGATTGTTAGTAGAAATTATTTTATATATGGGTCGTTTAAGATAATTATTTTATTAATTATCTCCTAATTGAATTTGGTGGTAAGCGCCTAAGGAATAATGTAATATGTTATAATCGTATTAATCTATAATAGAACGGAAACCAAATTATATTTCAAGTTCTAAAATAAGATCATAATTTATGATTATGACGAGATAAAACGAGATCATAAATCATTCTGTATAAATAATTCAATATGAATAATGTTGTACACATTAGTATGGTCTGTAATTGATTTCTGTAACTGATGATGTCTGTAAGAAATAATTACAATCACGAGCATCATCTTTTTCCTACTTTCGTTTAGAGAATAGCTTTTTCAACTTTTAAAAAGTAAAATTAATCTCTGTTAAATTATAATAGAATCACAATATCTTTGTTAATTTTCTTAAACTGTAAAAAGAAAAGTATAGAGAATAAAGAAGGAATAAAGTTGAAATATATTATAAATTTTTTTAGTTTAAATATACTTGCGAGAAAATTTAGGCATATTTATAAATTATTACAATTAAATTATATTAACGCTATCTCATTTAAAAAAATTTCTTTGTTAAACAGCGATACCCCATGCATGCGAATTTTCAAACCCGTTAGTAAATTACTCAAGCTTCATATTAACTCTTATAAGTTAGTGCTTGGACGATAAATACAACGGACAATTAGTTAGGTAGTGCGTGTATTGTCAATATAGTATTAATTTAGCGAAGCCCGAGCCCAATTTGCGGTAGACGTCTACCTTATTGAATTCAGCGTCGCCGGAACCGTCGAATGAATTGACATCATAATAATCACCAGAAGCGAGCTCTTCATCTGCTGAAAACTATGAAAACACGTGGCATTAATAAATAAATACCAGCAAATTATTGATTTGAACGATATTCTCCGATGTGACAAGCGCTTGCTAAAAATGCAAAATAATGCCGAAATCCATTTAGAATTTAAGTTTAAATAAATCACAATGGAAAATGTGAGATTAAGACATTACACTCTTTTGCGACGATTTAATCTTATTTTATAGATTTATTATAATAACGAAGTCTCAAAATTAAAATTGTATTATTTCATCCTCCTAATGTAAAAATTTGAGTAAGAAAAAGTGATATATAATATTATATTAATTTACGTACTTTTTCAAAGGTGAATTTTATTCTTAAAAAATAGATATTTTAACATTTTTGTTTAAGTATATAAACTATTTAAGCGAAGTAAATTAACCATTCATATTAACCATCATATTAAAAAAGAATTAAGTAATTCAAGTTTTCTATTAATAATATATATATATATATATATATATATATATATATATATATATACTGTTGATATTTGTTGCAATCATATTTCGAGAAGTATTGCGACGTTACAACGTCTCGTGTTATATCTGTTCTCTCAAGTGTCGGCACGTGAACGGTAACACAGCGAGCTTGCGGCGGCAGCGCGTTTAATTGTCTTCCGTTTAATTATCCTTAGACGGCAACGGTCTTGGGGTTTGTTTGACGCGCATGCGACGCGCGTCATTATTTGTGTGTATTCAATGTCGCCGCGCTATCGCCGTGTTATCATTTGCGCGGCGAGACTCGAGCAGGTAGCACGTAGCGCTACGACCCGCTCCGTGTGCCGTCGCATTACTTTTCAAAACACGATCGCTGTAAGTGCTAGCGGCGAAGAATCGTTCTCTATTATAAGGTGCCAATTCACGAGACGCTGAAAATGAGCGTCAACAAGGTGAACGTGAAATGGTTTCGCTTTGACGCTAGCGTCAAAGAAATGAAGTTGAATTCGTTTAATGTTCAGCGTCGTCGCTGAATCGTCGTTAATCATTTCAGTACAATCAAACATAGACTTCGAAATACGTAAAATAAATTATTTTCAAGTATTATCTTCAAGTAATAATATTTTATGGATACATATATATAAATAAAAGATATTATTTCTGAAGATTTTTGCTTGCTGAGCGTCGAGCGTCAACGTGAAAAGGCACCTTTACGTGAAATACATGAAATCTTATTAATAAACGTAAAGAAGAATCCGATGATTCTGTTACTTGAATCCTTCGAGTCGGCGATTCGTTACGCACTTTCGATCCGAACATGGTAATGGACAAGCTACATTTAAATTGGCGAAAAGTTCGACGCGTGATCTATTCTAAAGTATCGTTGAAAAAATTAAATATCAAACTAGCGAATCATATTGAAATTGTGTTTCAATTATTAGAGCGGGTTATTCTGCGTAATTTTGTGGATTCACCTGTATCCCATATCGCGCATCGAAATATTCGCCGAGTTTAAATATAATTTATTCTATCGTTTTCGTATTGAGAGTGTGATTTGACGATTAGCGTAATACGATTCAACAGAAAATCGCGATATCCATCGTTTAATTAGTTTCAGATACAAGAATAGAGTAAGTATTCGTTATACGTTTGTATCGTACAACGTGTTAAATATTTCGTAACGGTGACAAATTGGTAACCGCAGTTTCGGCGCTTGTTTTTAGCGGCATACAGCGCGCTGTTGTTTACATAAAGTCGCTTTGTTATCGTTCGCGCGGTGAGTCTTGTGTGCGTAGGACCGGGCGCGCGCTGTATACCGTCGCATTATCATCGCTCCGCGAACGCGATCGTGACAACTAGTAGAAAACGCGGTTCATATTTGTGAACAATTAACGTTTATATCAACCCGCGAGATTAATAAACTTCTCGAACTTCTATCGTAAATGTATCGAGGCGACAAGTATTTAAAATTGAAATGTAGCGATTAAATACGATAGAAGATGGGAATTGCAAATTCTTTTTCTGCGACACATTTAACAAAAAATAGTAACTTCTTTAACTGACATACGATGCTGGTGAATTTCGCGTCGCACTTGGTACCTATTGTTCGATTTAAATGTAATTTTCGTCCGTTATTATTTTGAATATTATTATATACCATTTACTGAGAACGGGTAGCAATATGCGAATTGCGCTAAATCGAATAATTCAAGTAACAACGTGTTATATGTTCATTAATAATATTTCATGTATTTCGCGGGATTCCGCATCGTGGTTAACGTCGGAAGTGCCGCGCAAAGTGCCGCGAGATCGTCACATTTTGGTGATTAGTGTGCGCGCGATCGTAATTAATGTCGTGTTTTCGCGAGTGACGTGTGAGCGCAACGGAGAAATCTGTGAGAAAGAGCAGGCTTGGGAAGCATCGGGCGACGGCAAAGCAACCGAGTAAGAGTAATTTATTACTTATATATTATTTATTACTTACTAAAATAATCGTCCATTTCTGTTTATTTGGCGAGTCATAGATAAGAATTAGAAAAAAAGACTTTTATTTAGACTCTTATAAAAACTTGCACCTAAAAAATTTATTTAAAAGACGGACAAAGAAATTGATGTATAGATATAATTATCTTGTCGAATATTAATAATTCTGAACGCTAGAATAATTTAAGTTTTATATTTGTATTTTACAAATCAACGTAATTATATAATAGCTGCACTCATCATTTGCATCGTATCAATGAGAAACGTTAAATCTTTTATTTTAATCCGAGGTATTGGGTTCGTGAATATCTACCGCAGATAGATATCACATTTCGCAGATCCATTGCCTTGAAATGGATGGAATAGGACAGATTAGCGCAATGTTTAACTCTGGACTATGTATAATGTTCATCGATCCATTGTGCATACAAGAATGCACATGCACAAAGCTCATACATAGAATGGGTTTATCGCCATCGACGTATCTATCATTAACTGGTTTGGCACATTTGATTATTTATTGATACGTTTTCGTATTTTATTATGAAAAGAATAGCAATTATGAGATCACAAATTGTTTGGAATTTATATTTAAGTATAAATTCTCGTATATATACAGAAATGAAAAAATGATAGAAAATATTTTACAGCTTATAGAGTATGCTCGATAAAAAATTATAGAAAAATGATAGAATAATTTTGGCAAAAGAGAAATAGTTCTGAAATTTAATAAAGATGTTCTTTTATTATTTCCTTTTTTTTCTTAAAAAATATTTTTCAAATAAAATTTATGGTCTGCGTCCGGCCTATGTATATCCAGAGTTAAATATAAAAATTGATACAAGAGAAAAGTAATATGCAATATGCATATGTTATAATCATATGCAGAAAAAGTGTAAAAAATATTTCATGATTACATATTTTTCTAATTATCTACTAACTTATGTAACGAAAAATGTGTTAATTTCTATTTTTATTTATTATTAATTGTACTTATATTGTGCCAACATTATTTTCATCTTTCATAGCTTATCCATTATTATATTTATATTATATTTATTGGTAATTCAATCAATTTCATTGTAATGTAGACAAATTTTCTACATACATATAATAAGGAATGATGGATCGATGATCGTTCACAATGAAATATCGCATATATTAATAAATATCTTGCATGAATTATCCTATATTTTGCGCTTCGTGTTGATTCGGAAATTTGCAATTTCTTTGAATAGTATGCAAACATGAATAAGCACCTTACAATGATAGAGGAAATACGATGCCACACACAGCACAATATGTAATTGAAAACGTATATATCTCGATTTTGATCAAATTAGATTTATCTGATCTTCTACATAGTAACTCTGTATTTCATACGTTTGGTATCAGTTCATACTACAATTTCCGGGATAATTTCATATACATCAGATGCAGTACATATCACACCACAGATGAGCAAATACGTAAATAAACGCATCTATTGAACATGGTATTTGTATCAAAACCTGTAATAGTATCGAAAGCTATGCATCGAGTCGATTGACTTATCATGTCATTGTAGGGTGATTAATTTGTTTCCACGAAATATTACACATATTAATCGATGCTTTATGATAATGTCGGCATCTTTAAGAGATAGAACTTATTTAAATTGAGCTTTGTAAGATTGCCGCATGTATGATAGATATCATGCATAATTCTCGATTTGTTTGATACTCTTTCCTCGTCAGAGCTCGTTGATTTCCGCTTAAATATCGACATTTTCCTGAAATTTCTCGGAATCGGTATCGAATAAACGTATCTTCGAGAGCGGAGCACTCGAAGGAAAGAGCACTTGACCTCGATCACAGGCAAGCCCAAAATATTCGATGATATAGAGGGATAAAATATCGCTGTATTTGCGAGTATTTCACTGCATCGAGTAGAGGTTAAGGCTCAAGTACAAGGGTATTAGTCGTATACAATATGTTAATCTGTCTTCGGAGGTAGTATTATATCTATGACAAAATATTTTATTTACACGATGCTTCAGAATTGGTAGACAATACAGATGATGTTATTCATGGCGAAATTTGGAGTTAATTTCAAATAAATTTTAATCTTAAGTATATGAAGAAAATTTGGACGGATTATTACTTTTTATGATTTTTAAATTAAATAACCAATATTCTTCCCAAACGTACGTGTCTAAAAGATATTTTAAAGACGTCTTTACGATAGCTTTTAAACATTCGTACTAGGTTAGTACGAATGTTTTAGACATTCTGTCTAGGTTAGTAATCTAAAATTACTAGGACAACCTTTAATTTTTATGAAAAGTGTCAGTCTACAACTTGATTATTATAATTATTAATACATAGTTTATTAGTAAAAGTTTATTCTAATTTTCAAAGAATGTCAGTGTCTCTTAATTCTGACAGAACGTATGATTTATTCTTAATATCTCCAACAAGGGGCGAATTATTATATTATCTCATCAGGATAAAATATGAATTAAAGATAATTCGTAGATTAAAGTCATTTATCATGCATATTAATATTTTTCAATTTCACACCTA